CACTCTGATGCCACTCAAATAAAATTTAATAAACTTTTAGATGACCAAAAAAAAAATAGGAAAACAATAATGGTGAATTGGTTTGTTGTATATGGTGTGTGTGTGTGTGTTTAGGTTAAGTCTGTAGGTGCAATATTATGGCAAATTGAAAATATATGTAAATATATGTACATATATATAGCTAATAATTATGTAAATTTTGAGCAGGTTAATAGAATATTATAGCAGCATGCCAAAGGTATTTTGACCAAACTTCTTTTGAATGATTGTTTGAGCCCTAAAAATGATTGTTAATAACAAATGATTAATAAATTTTGTTTTGGTTAATTATATTTAATTGACAATTATTTGACTTAAATAAATTAAATTTTATAGGATCGTCATATTTAATAGTAAAGGAGCTATTGTATAACAACGTCATACTGAGTAAAATTTCTCTAATATCAAGTAAGAATTTTTACCTTATTACGAATATAATGTACAAATTTTATGAACGCTACAAAAGGTATAAAAAAAATTATTCGAATAAATTGATTTTTAATTAGGCTAGAGCATCTGTGTGTACACCTAAATGAAGTTCTAGCCTTTAATCTTGACTCAACATATAATATTGCGTATAAAATTTATAATAATCTACCCTCGGAAATGAAACTTAAAACTAATATAAAAGAATTTAAAAAAACTATACCCAATTACTATCTAACTAAAATATAGCAAAATTAAAAATATTAAAATTATATTCTGTACATATGTTACGCTGTGTTAAAAATGTTTTAATTGTTAAATCCCAATATTTTATATATAAATTTACGTAATTTGCAATTGATAATTATTATCTACCTAGCTCTAGAATTATAGATTGTAATATTTTTGAATTATTTTTGTTGCACTGAACTTAGAACTTAGAATTAAGAATTTAAAAAATGAAATGAAAAAATTCAATTCTAATTTCTTCAATCAATCAAATTGACTTTTGATTTGTATTTATGGGCATGCCATGCTTTAGTCTGACGTGACTTTATTTCCCGCCCTTTTAATATAATGCATTTTTCCTTGTTTCCTTTTTATACCTTATTTTATGCTGTTTTATAAATTTACAAAGCATTGTAAGACTACTTGTTATCAGATGAGTCAGAACCAGTTCGAATAAAAATTTTGTCTATGAAGAGACAAATTAATTAATGATTTCATGGAATTGTCATATTTCTGAAACAACTACTATTTAATAAATTAATCTAGAAGATAATCTATAAATCCTTTTGTTTCCAAAAAAAAATTTTAAAAAAAGGTGGTTATTAGTTTAACTCTTCCCGTTCGTCTAGCCATTCATTTGTCTCTTTAAGTTAGAAAGCTTATAGATCTTTACTAAAAACTTACTTCTGTAGAAGAATCTTTAAACCATCCCCCCTCCTCCTCTCAAAGTTATAATAATTCAAAAATTATTTTTAACGAGTTTTTTTTACGGTAAGTGTCGGTAAGTGTTATAGAAGTCTAAACGTCGTACTTTAGCAGTTTAAAGAAACTACCAGATAATTAATTTTGTTTAAGAAAAAAAAATTTTATCACCTCACGCTATTTATAAAATTAGAATTTTTAACGCCTTATATTTTCGAAACTATAAGCTTTTTCAGATTTTGTATAAGAGCAAAAAACTAACGGTAAATGCTATACCATCAAAATTTCTATTAATATTTATCTTGACTCACTTACTTGTCCGACGAATTCAAACATTATGTTAATGCATCTTTCAACTTTGTTTTCATCCTAAAAATATGCAAACATTTTTAATACATCAATTAATAAAAACATCGAAGTAGTAGATTGATTTACTAGAAAGCGTATACTATTCTAATTTGTTTTAGGAAAAGTGCAACTTTACAAATCATTACAGAATTTCTTTTTTATTTAATTTATGATTTTCTGAATAAGTTTTAATTGAATCACAAAATTTTCATTACAAATTTTGCTTCATCTTATTATTTTTTTCCCAATATTTTTCTTATCGAAATATGGTCACTCTACCTTAGTCTCTCATTTATTGAGTGAATCATTAGTAATAACCACTATTTAATATCTAATCTGATTAACATAATTGGCTTCAATATTCCATGCAGCAGTAAAACGAGATATACCTACATACTTACATACATATAACAAATAGGTTCACTCTTATTTCTTTACACATTTAAAAAAACCAATAAACAAAAACAAAATATGAATGAATTTTAGTAAAAATTATCAAAATCTTCTTTAATAACAATTTAAATAAAATATTTTATGATAATTTTTCAAATTTAAAAATTAATTTGCATAAAAACGCAAAATCTATGCTTTTTATATTAAAAAAATTTTATTTTAATTTGAAATTATAAGGTCTTTGTTTCCAATTTTAATGTATAGCACCTATATACAATCGCACAAATTTTGGATATTATTTTGCAAATAGTTACAAACATACATACATAATTATTATAATAGGTTTATGTGATTATTTTGTATGCCAAATTTACAAAATTTAAGCAAATTTTCGAATTTAACCTACAAAATTCTTTATTAAGGTCAATGTTTTGCAAATTATAATATTAATTTTGAATTAAAGTACAAAAATTGTATATAAAGAAGAAAATAATAAAAAATAGAAATTCAAAAGGATAGACGAAGCTTTTTAATTTTGAAATTTGTGCAACAAGAAATTTTGTACGCTTGTTTGAATCATCAAAAATATTAAGATTTAAAATTAAAGCAAAGAAAATTTTTACTTGTATCCGAAATTTGTAACAATGTATGTTGACTTATAATGGAACTTAACTCAATACCCCAGCAAAGAAATTGTAATTGCTAAATTAAACATTAACATTGCAATTGATTTTGTACATATACGCGCAATTAATCCTACACATTTCTAAAATTTTAACAGCTTAATTGAATTTCGTAATGTTAAGTTGTTGTTAAGTTTATATCATTGTAAATTCATATATAGGGTCTGCGAATATTGTGATACACTTGTGGTCGTCTATTAAGTAGAAAGGAATATATTTAAGATTATAAGGTATACGTGTTCATTCAGAGTCACTGTTTAAGTCATAAAATTTTTTGCCATATAAAAACCATTTTGGAAAATTTTTAGTCAAGGCAATTTTGCTCTCATCTTCATTATCAATATGCCAAAACGATCTTCACCCAATTAACAGGTTTATTAGCCAATTTTTATATAAAAACTGATCTTCTTTATTTCGAGGACCCAAAAATGTATATAAGTTAAGATTATAATTACATTTTGAACTTAAAATATAAGTTTAGAATATGTGGTTATGTACGTATAAAACAATGTACAAACATGTATTTATAAGCAACAATATACGAAGATTCTAAAAATTAAAATGACACTTCCAATAACAATTGACTTTTATTTTAAAACCAAATTATTTCTAAAAGACCTATGTAAAGTATATGGTCATCTACCAATTCAGCTATACAATTTATATATTATGCGCTCCTTATGTTTTTATGTCGAATTTCACTGGTTTAATAACAATTTACGTATGTAAATTTTTTTAGTTACCTCCCTTTAAAACACAAAGTCGCATTGTTAAAGCGTTGTATAAGATCATTGAAATAAGATCATAAACCTTTTATATGTAACCTTTTATATGTAAACCTAAGAAAATGTGAAATTGGCTCTTAGCAGGAATTCATTTTCTGTTATACATATTTCCTGTAAATTTTCTTAGTTTATTAACAACCAGGACTCAAAAATGAAATTGTAAAAAATTCTGTCAATTTTCTGTTTATGAGCACAAAACGGAAAACCGGACCGTTATAAAGACCCAGTTGTGAGAATCCGGTCTGATACAAAAAAAAATTGTTCAAACTGTCCAGTTCCTATTATAAACTTAGAAATAAAATTTCATGAAAATCGGTTGATTTGAAATTTGATAGTTTTTTCAATTCCCATAAATTTGCCTTCATCAAAAAAGTAGAATTAAAATTTCTACTTATTTAATTTATGATAAAGAGAAAAAACAAAAATACAAATGATTTGTGACTTTGCACAGAAGCTGTTTATTTTGCTTGAATGTTAAGAATCCGTTAAAGTAAATTATCTTTATGTACACACACATACGTACACAATAGAGGGACATTAATTATTTAATTTGCTTTTAATTCTTTTTATTATCTCTTATTTATACACACAAATATTTAGCTTTCTTTAATATTTATTATTCGAACGAAAAAAGAAAATATTTATAACAAAAACATAATTACGTAATACATGAATGGGCCCAGAATTTTCATTTCATTCGCTTTTAGTAAATATTTTTAAATTTTCTATTATTGTTGTTGCATTTTACAAACACAAAATTGTCGATCAACTCCATTAAAATTTTAAAACTTTTAATTTGTTCTTAATACAGCGTCATCTATAAACTTTTTCATAACAAATACCATTAACATTAATAGTAATAAATGTCGCATAATACGCAATATGTATTTAAAATTTTTTTTAGTGCGTTCTCCAAACAGCGTCATCTACAAAATTTTCATCATAATCTTTATTCAGATCATAGATGTCGCATAATACACAATGTATATTTTATTTTTAAATTTTTAATTAAGTTCTCAAAACAGCGTCATCTATGCAATTATGGTTATTATTTTTCTAATTTTTAAAAATTAATACATTATTATTCTACCAGTAGATGTCGCACGTCATGTAAAAAAGAAAAATAATTTTACTTCCTTTTTAAATAGATTCACTACAATTTATTATTTAATTCCAATTTCTGAATTAATTTCTGAATTCGAAATCAACTAATTAAATATTAACAAAAATTCTTATTTTTTACAGAACTTATATAAATTGCATATACAAATTTAACCACATAAAAATATTAAAATTAATTTTACTATACATGCATTGATCTACTTTGAATTATTAAAAAAAATGGCAACATTATTAATTATCATATAATTTTTGACATTTGCTTTTTGACATTTGACATCTCATGCTTCATCTTTTCATCCGTGAATTTATTCGGTGCTGAAGTAAAGGTTAATAATTATTGGATTTAAAAATTCCATTTTCTTAACTTGAAGAAATAATTAAAAACCTTTAAAATGACTAACGCATGGAGAGCAGCTGGAATCACGTAAGTTTTAAACAATTTATAAAAAGTTCAGAGTAAAAAAAATATTGTTACGTAATTTTTATAAAAAACTTTGAATTCTCATCTGATGTATCTTAAGAATTATTATCTTATGTAATTTAGCAAAGATTATATTGAATCAGCTTAATCAAGCAAAATTTAAATGCATTAAATAATTTATTTTATTTTGGATATTTTAGTTACATCAAATATAGCAATATTTGTGCTAAAATTGTTAGAGAAGCACTGAAGACTGATGCTAGAGCTGAAGCTGCTAAACGTAATGCTTCACATGTAAAATTCACTCCATGGAAAGATGGCAGACCAGCACGTAAGTATATTTATCGATATCTACATACAATAACGCGTTTTCAATAGAAAATTCAAATGATAAATTCAATTTTCTTAAATATTTTTATAAATTATTGTTTACAGATGAAAAACCTTAAATTCATCATAAATTCAATGGTAAAATGTAAAAAAGTTTTAGGTTTATTGTGTTAAAATCCATATTCAGTTAACAACTAATATTGTTTGCTTGATTTTGTCCAATTCCAATTAACTTGTTTGAAATTCTGTTAAATTCATAAAAAAATCCCTATCCAGACTTGCTTTTCTTTTTGTGATATTGATTTGATTTTGTTTTTAAAATATACATAGGTATATTAAAACTATCAATTTCCGATCTGATCGTTAAAATAATAGTTTCCTGTTTGAGATTTAATTGTTGTAAAATAAATGTAGTTTTATTTAAACAAATTGTTATCGGGTTCAAATACTGAAACCTTGATGTGAATGTTTTCGGTACCTACCTGTGAATATATACGTATAAAGTGAATCAACGCCAAATTTGTTCTAATAACTTAGAACTCTTAATATTTAGCTTTTTGCAGGCTAACAAAATTTTTGTTATACAAAAATAATTGTGTTTAATAAGTAAAATAGAACAGAGATAAAGATCAATAACTAAATACTTTTTTTTGCTTTTGGTTTTTTTGATTAATACTTAAAATTTGTTTTTTAATATTAAAGAAATTAATTTTGTAATTTTTTTTTAGGCCAAGCTCAACAAGCTCAGGAAAGTTAAAAGGAGAACCATGGAAGTTCTATAAATAATTATTCGACATTCAATTTCCAAAATATGTAAATTATAAATTAGATGTAATGGAAGAAATATAAAATTCGAAAAATTTTCGATTGAACACCTTAAATAATTGAAGTTTCTGTAAATTTATATTGAAATTTCGGGAAAGTTAATTAATAATTCAATTTTTTGTTCTTAAAATGAAAAGAAAGGAAAACTTAGTGGTTTTAGGAGATCAATTTTCATTTCTGGTCACGTTTGTTCATTCAATGTTTGATTTAAACATAAATTGGGTATGCTTTTTACATAATCAAATAAGTAAAATTTACCCCAAAATGTTAACAAAGCAGATAGAAAAAGCCGAAATTCTACTACTTAGTTCGTTCTTACCAAAACGAAGTAGGTAGTAGAATTTAGTAATTAATAAGCCTCCAATTACATACATTTAAAGCAGGCAAAGAATGTCAAATCTTACATAGATAGTGCTTTGGTATTTTTATCCAAATTTAAATTTTGGTATTTTTATCCTGACCTTTAACAGAAAAAAAGCAAGACTTTTATTAATTCCATATTTTTTTTATATATATTTTGGTACAACAATATAATTCTTACATAAAGGGAACATATTTTAATTAACATTTATTTATATAATAAATCATCTACATTTTCTCAATAAATACTAAGTTTCTTTGCGATCGATTAATATTATGTAATAATTTTTAAATCTATATAAAATTATTGTCAAATTTTTCATTTTTAGTCTGAAATATTAACATTTTTCATTATAAATGCATTTATTTAGATATTTTTTTTTTGATAACCTGAACGATATGATTTTTGGAAGCATTTACGATTATTTACAATTATTTACTATGGATTAAATGATTTTGGTAAACCAACTTCATTTAAAAGAGATTCTTCTTCGATAAGAGATTTCGGTCCATTACCAATTTTTGTATGTATAATATATTTAAAGAAATTTCTTCCAATCGGTTTTGATTCACAATTGAATATGTTTTCCTAAAAAAAAAAATTTCATTTCATTGCTAAAATTATTAAATAATTTTACAAGACATTTAAATACAAAAATTGGTTAAATCAATCATTTCACTTACGTCTTTCTTATTTTTTAAATCAATTGGAATGCCTTTCAAATACTCCACAGAACCATCATTATCATTTGGGAAAAATTTCTTAATAGCTAATAAAACATCTGCAACGTTTTCTTGTAATAAATATAAACATGCATTCGGTCCAGCATCAAAAGTATAAGCAATTCTAACTTCTCCAACCATTTCATTATATTTATGAACAAAATCTATTATAGCATGTGAAACATCATTCATGTAAACACAAGGAGGATAACTATCAAGGCAACAAGCATGAAATTGATTACTGTCCTTCATTGTAATTTCAGCGAATTTTTCAAAATTTTTTTCTTTTATAGCATTTTTGATTTCAAATATACGTTTCGGTACTACAACATCAGCTCTATATTTAAGTAAATCTGATGTTAAAACACTTCGTTGCATACCTTTTGTAGATCCCACCTTCTTTCTGTTATCATTTACAACTAATATAAGTACATGCATATTAGGCCAATGTTCTTCATTTTCAATTTGTACAGCAATTGAATCATTTCCATTCTCGTCTTCTCCTTTAATCCACTGAACAAATCCTCCATAGATACTCCGACAAGCAGAACCGCTACCTAAACGCGCAATTTTCGAAAGTTCTTCGTTCTGAACACCATATAACTTTGCAAGAGTGTATACTAAACAAGCATAGCCTGCAGCACTAGATGCTAATCCAGCAGCTGTAGGGAAATTATTTTCTGAGCAAATGTGTAATTTCCAATCTAAAGGAAATTTAGCAGTTCCTTGGAGTTGTGCTATACGTTTTACTGGTATATTAAAAATTTAATTTAATATATTCGAAATTAAAAATATTTTTAAATATTTCTAAAATTATCTTACTTTCATCCAAGCATTTCACAGTTCTACAATTATCTTCAAATTGCACTTCTTCCCCATTCAACCACATTTTATTTTCTTTGAAATCGGACCCTACTGCGGCAGTAGTTTTTGCGCACATCTGAAAAGCAAAACACAAATTTAAGTTATAAATACCTACAAAAAATCATTTGATAGATTGCAGCTCGATTGCAATAATCTTTAAGCTATGCAAGTACATTGCTTTTAGTTTTAAGTAATTTCCTTTTTATTTCTCATAACTATGTAGGAAAGTAGTTTTTTAGTTTTCACATAAAGATCAACTTATGAGAGAAAATCAGACTCTTACGGGAATATCGTTTCTCCTCGTGTCATTATTATCCTAATTATTTTTATGTTTGATCTTTAAGGTCATTATGTAAATTATACAAATATTTTACATACATGCATATTATAATACAAAAGAATAATATAAACTAATTTTAAATATGTTATTGTTGTTTATGTACCTGGTCAGTACTAAGGGTCATACTAAGAGAATCATTTATTGGCAATATAAGTGCTTCGTCACGTTTTCCCCCTAAAAAAAATTGTTTTTTATATAAAAAGTGAAAGTTTTCTTACATCTTCAACAAATAATTGAAATTTCACTTACAATATTTTATCAAAGCAATATTGACTGGTGCAATACAAGTTTGTAGAAGCATTTTTTTAAAATAATCAATTAACTTTGTATTTCGAATAGTTAAAAAAAAGTCAAGAAAATTTAGTATTAAAAAATCATTAACGAAATTACAAAATTTTTATAAATTTTAAAGCAAATAAAAATTTCAAAACTTCAAGTCCGACCGAACTACTTTTCTCATATACCGTTGCTTCTAAAAACCAAACAAAATTAATGCCAAAAATATTTTTTATTTTAAGTTTACATTGCGTGCTGTACTACTGTCATCTAGTCCATATACAATTTCCACATATTTTTTTTTTCACCAATAAACTTAAATATTGAAACGTTCCCAAAAACTTCCATTCCATGTATTCATAAATATTAAAAATTCAGCAATTTTGATTCTGCCAAAATTCCTGCTATTTATATATCGAAATTCATTCACAATTTCAAATTTCTTTTATTATGGATCCGAACCAAAAAAATCTAATAAACATCGGGGTTATTTGGAAAACGATATTTGAATTTATTATTTAGAATGTTGCATCTTGCTACGTATTGTGCTACTCTATTGAAATTATGTACAGTGCTTAAATATTTGTGTTTTTTTGAGTTTTTTTACATTAAAAGTAAAAAACATCTATTTAAGTTTTCAAGTTATGAAATTTCTGTCAATATTTTTTGAAGTGAACAAAAAATCTAGTAATCCGAGAAAAATATTTTTTTGTCTCTTATTTCTTGAATTAATTTAAAAAGTTTTTAATTCTGTGCTGTTAACTTCATATAAGAATGTTTTAATATTAAATGCGTAAAAATGTAAAAACTTAAAATTCGTCCAATACAAAACAGATTTTGGAAGCGTAGTGTTGAAAGGAAATAGTATTCATAACTTTAATTACAATTAAAACGACGAAAAATGTGTGCACACAAAGAAAATGGATTTATAAGTCACACATCTCGTTTCATTCTTGTTAAATTTCATATTTTATACATTATTTTGGTATCAACAACATACATACACAAAAAATATTTAACTGCGCTAGTAATTGCTATGTAAATGAAACAAGTTACAAAAATGTAAAATAATATTTTAACATTTGTACGCTAACTGATAAATTAATTCAAAATTTATTTAATGCAAAAAAAGATTACTCTGATTTCAAGTACTATTTTGACACTTATAAACACATTTATGAATAGTTAACATCTGAACTTTTTTTTGTTATCATATAAGAAAAAGTTTTGACATTTCAAACAGTCTAGTTGGAATATAACGAAATTTCAGTACGTTGACGGTTTTCTTAAAAAAAATTCTTTTATTTTTTAAAAAAATTATTAAAATTAAAATGAATAACTTGAAAACTATTTAAAAAATGAAAACTTTTTAAGGATAGTGTTAAATTAGTATTTAAATTTGAGTTTTTGTGTGAATTAATTAACTTTTGTCTGCCTCAACAATGGGGCTGATAGAGCCAGCAAAATATGGTGAAAATTTTCTTGAATTATATACAAATAAAACAGATAATGGGTAATATTTAAAAAAAGTTTAATAAATATTCTTTATTTTAAATTTTAAATAGCATTTCTTGGATTTTTAAAGTGAAAATTTGTAAAAATTATATAATTTCCCTTGAGATTAAAGTAGTCGTCATAGTGTTAAAATATATTAAATAAGAATTGCTTATTTTAATAATTAAAAATATTAAATTTTAATAAATAACTAAGAATTTAAATCTTGAAAATAATCAATTTCACAATGTTATGGCTTTTTAATACTTTATGAAAATTATGAAAAAACAACATGGAAGGCGATGAAAAAATCAACCAAACTGATAAAAAATCGATAAGAAAGAAGTTGTTTTGACATTTTATAAAACGTCATAATTAAAGATGACATTAATATACTTTTATACCGGCATAGTTAGAAAATTCATAATATTATTGTAAACAAATGCCAGCTGTTTTTAAATTGATAACAGTTTTGTTTATTAAAAATCACATGTTGTATGTAAACAAAATGTGCGCAGGATCTTCAATTTTTACAGTGTTGTTAATAACATAAAAAAATGTACTTTTGAGGTAGTACATTTGAATGTCAAGAATGAGATTCGTTTTGGAAACTTGTCAAAAGTTTCAAATAGCTACCAATATATTTTTCAATTACTGCAGCAATTATTAATAATATTGAATATAAAAGAATTTATAAATATGTACGTAGATTTGTTAGAGTATTGAAAAACTCAAAAAATGTTTAATTATTATTTTGAAGCTACACCATTATATATATTTTTAAGTTTTAATTTGTAAAAAGGTACTGTACCTTATTAAAACTTAAATAAGGATAGGTACTAATATTTTTGTAAATTGTACTAAATTAATTTCTATTTACAAAAAAAGAAGCAGAAGAGAAAAAAAACTAATGTCATTTGTATAATCAAAAACGGTAAATATTGTTAAGACTGTTTGTAAATAAACTTTTTATAAACAAACATCAGCTGTTTGGAAAGGATAATGACGTAGTTATTATTGTAATTTGCTTACACATGTTTTTGTAAACAATGAAATATAAACAATGAACGCGATTTAATAATTTCATTCATTAAAATTTACTATACATTTTTATGTTGTTATTCTCTACATCAAGATCTAAAGGACTTTTGATTTTCTCTTTCTGCTGGTTACAGCAAACTTTAATTTTATTTATGTCTTTTTTTAAGGTCTAATTTTGAATAAATAAGTATTTTTTGAAATATTTAGGAATTTAATGGGGAAGTTTTTAAAGCACGATGAAGGAAATTTTTCTTAAGTTAATACATACGCAACCCAATCAGAAAAAGGGAAATATGTATATTATTATATGTATGCTACAATAATAAAGTTAACAGAATAGCTCTGCTCCACTAAATTTTCTGATAAATAATTACAAAAGAGAAAAAATTAATTTTTCATTTCCTCTCTAAGCGTAAAAAAATCAAATTTTGAATTTTTTTTGTGCACATAAAAACCACGTCTGACATAAGAACAAGACAAAAACTATAAAATTTTTATTGTTGCCGTTATTCTGATATTGAACATTTATACATTTCTAATATTTTTACATTACTTTGACATGTGACAAATTTTACCAAAACTTTAGTGAGAGGCAAAAATTGTAATTTCTTCTACAATAACAACCATTTATGTAATTAAATTGAAAAGAAATCCTAGTGATACTAGAAAGATGAAATTGCATTATAAATAAACTGGTTTTAATTATTTTTATCCAATAAATTACGACCATGTTCTTTAGTTTCTAGTTTGCGGACTTACATATGTATGTACATATGTACATATATTGGTGAACGGTATAAGGATCTATGATCGATCTATATACACTTATACAAATACTTGAATAGGTGTACCAAAAAACGCTTTCAATTACTATCAAACGCAAATCAAACGTAAACATAAATGACTAAATTATCAAATCTCAAAATAAAAAACATTCCTTTCATACTTTGTCATATATTTGTACCAAAGAATGTATATTTATAAAAATACATTCTTTGTTTGTACTCAATGGTATGATTCATAGAGCGATATGTTTTTATTTGTTTAATTTCGAAACACATCTTGCAGCACACTTTGTTTTTATGAATTTCGGTCGTCTTAATATTTTTTAAATATCCATAATATAAATGAATAGGATATTTGTATTGTTTTGGTACCGGTAAATCTACGACCTAAACCAAACATTAAAATTAAAATTTAAAAGATTTATAAATTATTTAACTTACTTCGAAACTCTCAAATTGTATTAGATTAGAAATATCATCCATTTTTGTACTTTACTATCACTTTACTTAACTTTATATTAATTGCATTTGATATTTGAAATATAAGTGGTTAATACGATCAACTGACTTATCAAAGTTATACCGTTTTTTTATATCGTTTTTTTATTTTGAAGTTTTTTTGATTTATGTTTGAATGCAGTTTATGTCGTTCAAATTTCAAACGGATTGAATACGTACGTACTTTTATAAAAGTACTTGAAGTATTTGTAGAAGTGCATATAGATCGTTTTTTATTAAACCGTTATTTAAATTTTTACAGCGGTATTTCATCTGACAGAAAATCAAAGTTGAATAAACGAAAACGAAATGAAAAGAAATGTGAAAATCAAGCCAATGAGCAAATTTTTCCAAATTTCGCTCTGGCAAATATCGAACTTGAACCGAATGCATCAAAATTTGCAATTTTTTCTGCAATAAGATCATCTGTGTTGGAAGCGGATACGAAATATGACTTATTTCAGGAAAAATCTTCAAAAAAAATTAATACTTCTTCAACATGCTGCTTTTTATGTGTTGGAGCATGTAAGGTGAATAATCAAGTTGAATGTTCTTGCCATTCGTCGGAAAAACGACCAAAAACTTCTGAAGAAGGTAATAGTGAAGATGAGAGCGATAGCAATGAAGTAACTGAAAAAGAGATTATAACAAAAGTACCTCAGATCGTTGGTGCTGGTTTACGAAGTTTGTTTGAATTAATTGCTGATGCGCGAAATGTTCAACCGAATTTGTGTAATAAAGCACTAAAGGCTTTGTTTGACGTCATAGAAGGTACTTATATTAATTAATTTGCCCTATATTATTTGTTTCATTCAATTTAATATATAATAAGCAGTTATATTTATTTAAAATAGTGCATTTAAAATAAATTAATGTAATTTTAGCATTTTATTCAATATACTACTCACTTGTTATTAAGCAATTTAATATATGTACTTACATACTAATTATTTAAAGATGGCGTTTCTAACAGATAGTTTAATCTTTTTTAAATGTTAACAGGTCAGCAGCCCGAAAGTTTTAAAAGTGAACCTGAAAATTTAATTAATCCTTTATACGATCTGTTACTTGATCTTGCTACTTCATATAGTCCAGTGGCGGCAACAGATGAACCATCTTCCACAACAGTTACTGTTAATGGAAATTGGTCATCTATTGCTTGTTCAGCTTTATTGGGTTTATGCGTTGCACGCGGTGATACAGGAAAAATATTAAAAGCTGTTACAGCACTATTAATGTCACCAAAAGTCTTGTCATCACAAAATATTCAGTTACCAACAGTTTTGGGAACCTTACAAAGAACCGTTATGGCTGCTGCACTTAATAAGCCCATTAAACCAGACTTTCATACTCACGGAATACCAAAAAATTCTTTGGTAGATCAGGTAATATAACACTTTAAATTCTCTTTTTTTGTCTTAAAAATCTCATGTTACTTTTTTTTTAATTTTAGTTTTCTATCAAGTCAATTGTATCTTCTTATACGAATTTTACTTCACAACCAGCAATGACGACTGATGGTACTTATCTCTATCTTCTAGTCTCAAACAGTTTGTTTAAAATAGGAACTGGATTTAATGGGACATATAAGGGTCATATTTATGCTAGAAATAATGATTTTGGGAAAGATAAAACAGGATGGATTGGTTTTTATTGCGTAAGTATTAACATTTTTGGCCAGAAGGAAATCATTAAGTAAAATGTAAAACGTTTTAGAATAAATTGTACTTTAAAAGAACATCTAAGAGGAATGATGGTATTTTAATTATAAGTACTGATTCACTCTCCGTTACTGGATCTGCCCCAATTAATACGCCTTCTATGAGAGAAGGACAAAATTTTCTATTTTTTTCTGATGAAGATTCTATAAATATGATTTACACAAATAGAGATGTAAGTTTTGTATTATGTAATTGGAATAGAGATCCCCGATAATTCTATTGTTTATTATTATTTTAGGACACTTTAGTAGTTAAGCAAATAAGAAGTAGTAGACAATCTTCATTTGAATTGCCATTGAAATTAGCAAGGAAGAAATTTCGAACATTAGGTTATGCTTCCTTCGAGGATGAAGTTTTAAACCAAAATCAAATTCAAAAAGTATACCTAATGATATTTTGACTAAAGTATTAAGATTATATGCTTTTCTCCGATTATTTCAGATTCAATCCTCTTATAATGTATTTGAGCCTAAATTACCTAATGACATTGAAATTCAAGGAATTGCTTGTGGAAAGGACTTTGGGATTGTTCGTGCTTTGAATGGTAAAATATATTACTATGGAAAATCAGCATCATTGGGTTTAAAATCAGTTGGTCGTACCCCAACTATGAAAATGACTGAATTAATCGTATCCAAGTCGTCGAATATTATTCAGATTGCGGTTGGACATGATGGTATTCACGCGCTTTTGGTAAATGATGATGGTACTGTTTATTTTGCTGGAACCGCCCGCCGAGGTGAAGACGGTGATAGTTCAAAAAATCGACGGCAACCAAAAGCTGTGAAACCGAAAAAAATGACAAAAATTGATGGACATGTCGTAATTCAGGCTGCTTGTAATAATGGGACATCTGCTTTTGTCACGAAAACTGGTAAATTAATAATGTTTGGAAAAGACACAGCAAACTGTGATTCACTTGGTTTTGTAACTGATTTAATGGATCAACATATTACAAAAGTCGCATTGGGAAAAGCTCACTGCGTAGCTTTAACCTCAAAAGGGCAGCTTTTTACATTTGGTCTTAATAATAAGGGTCAGTGTGGAAGAGTTTTTCCAAAAGAAAAGGATTCTATTAGTTCCGATAGTACAGATACGAAGAATTCTAGTGGTAGAAAAGTCAAATTTGATTTTTCAATAATGTGTGATTTTGATGAGCACGCAGTTATTCAAGGGCAATGTAGAGTATGCGTTATTTGTAAGGAATGTACTGGTTACAACGTATCTTGTGTCTCCACACTTAACGTTCCGATAGACGAGAGAGTAGTTGGAACGTAAGTAAAATAAATTTTACAACAAAATTATAATTATAATTATAATTATAATTAATTTAACAGTATGTTTGTAAACATAGCTAATTTATATTTAATAAATATAACTATAGTGTCTGTCCATGTGGTCATGGGGATGCTGGATGTTCAAAATGCGGAGCCTGTTCAGCTTGTATTGCAATTCAAGAAAATGAAAACAGTGGTAAATTCGTCTTGGAAAATCATATGTATAAAAAATAGTGTAAATAATAAATTTAAATATCATTTTAGTTACGGAACATAAAGACTCAAAACATGCAAGTATTTTGAATCGTCAAAGATCTAAGAGCATGATTTTGCGTAAGAAAGATAAAAAGGTATCCGAAGAAAACAGCACTCCATCTGATATTGAACGGGATACTCCAAGAGTAGCTCCATTAGCACCTCACAGAGTAATATTACCAACGAATAGTCCTGTTGTTCAAATTGCATGTGGCTTACACCATACAGTTGTATTAACCTTAGAGGGAGAAGTTTTCACTTTTGGAAGTAACCAATATGGGCAGCTAGGAACTGGCGATTTGCAACCAGTAATAGGACCAGTGCAAGTTAAAATTCAAGGAGTCAATAATCAAATAAGCCAGGTGGCTGCTGGAAGTAATCACACTGTATTATTAACACATAAAGGTGTTGTTTATACTTTCGGAAGCTATCAAGTAATTATTTGTTCTGCAAAAACAACAATTCTTAAATATTCATTTATATTTGATAGAAAGGACAACTAGGACGTTTACCTAATGAAGTTCACAAACCTTCAATTAGTGACGATATTGAAAAACATTCAGACAGCCCACAAAAGGAAATGACTGCTTCTAGCATTTTAGCCCAAAGGCAAAAGTTTTTGTGGAATTGCAGTCCAGGAGCAGTATTGTTAGTACATTTTTGTATTAATTTTTATATTAAATAAAAATGAGCCAAGTTTAAAATAATATAACATTTTTTTAGTGGACTTGGACCAAGTTTTGGTAAAAAAGCTACATGGATAGGAGCTGGAGGAGATCAAACTTTTATAAAAATTGATGAATCTTTAATAACAACTCAGATGTTACCGAAAGTTAATATTGTTGCGGATAAGGAAACTATTTGTAAGTGTTTATTCTTTTACTTTATGATTTGAAAATTTTATTTTTTTTTTTTCAGTGATGATACCAACTATTCCATTGTCATTTCATTGTTTGACTATAAGTAGGCGTGATGGAAGTTGCAATGCTCATTATCGTAATCAAGTGAATTTTGTGCAAATGATACAATCAAACCCTAATGCGATGCCTGAAATCAACCAGAATCTTGATCCTCACGTTTTAGCGCAACAAAATCAACAAGATCAAATGTCACGTAGTATGCATGAAGCTCGAAATCAAATATTTGATTTAGCTGAGAATCAAAATGAAAGAGGAAGACGTCATCACGAAAGTAGTATTAGTGAAAAAGTAATGCCACAAATTGCATTTGCTTTGGATCCGCGTTTTGGAGTATTATGGATATTTGATGGTGGTTTAAAAAAAATATTTTGTTACAATGTCGTTGCTAGTGAAGTAACTGATGATAGTCCGGTATTTATAATTAATAACCTTAAGTAGTTATCAACACAACAAAAGAAAATTTTTTTATAGGACTCAGCAAATTATAAAGCAATATTAATGCCCCAATTATCATTGCCACAAAAGAAAGAGTCATTAATATCGAGATCCCAAGCGTCTTCAAACTTATTAGCATGTTTGGACATTCTAACTTCGGCTCAAGATGCAATGTAATTATATAATACAAATAATTGACCTAACCGATATACATATGTTATTCTTTCTTTATTTAGACCGGCATGTTTTGAACAAGAAACGCCACAACAGACCAGTTACACTAAAGAAGCACAGTCAAATGAATATCAAACTGTTAACCGATTTGAAAATTTTGGTGGTGGTTGGGGATATTCAGGGCATAGTGTAGAAGCAATAAGATTTTCTGTTGACACCGACGTTATGATTTGTGGTTTTGGTATGTTTGGTGGTCGTGGGGAATATTCATGCAAAATTAAACTTTTCGATCTTGGCGCCGAAGGTGGTGGATATGAGAAAGATGGAGTTTTAATAACTGAAACAAAAGAAATTCCATATGAGTGTCCTGCTCGTAGTAAATATCACATCATGCTTCCAAAACCGGTAACTGCTGTAGCTAATCGTTGGTATTTGGTGTGGGTCCGTATTGCGGGTCCATCATCTGATTGCGGATCATCTGGTCAAAATAGCGTAACAACTGAAGATCAAGTTGTTTTTACTTTTAAATCTTCAAAAAAGGCCAATAATGGAACTGATGTTAACTCTGGTCAAATTCCTTTGATAATATACAGACTGATATCGCAAGAAATTAAGCAAACTCCATTACCTCTTAATGTTGATCCTGTTCAAAAAGTTTCTAAATTTTTCGCAAATACAGTAACAAAAGAATGCTTTGAATCATTAGTTTTGCTTTTGGGTTGGGGATGGGATACTTTCAAACAAAATTTAAAGGATCAAAAAGACCGAACGAGATATTTTCAAATTAAAAGTTCATTAGAACATTTAATTTATGTTAACAAATCTTGCTTGAGATTATTACGTAAATACGCCAACGAAATATATCCACCTAAGATTACAAAAGTGGGACAAGTTACAGTAAGCTCTAGAAAAAGTGGTAGTTGTTCAAGTGATATCAATACTCAAACATGTAAATATAATAAAGAAAATTTGTTTCCTTAAATAATGTTGAATTTCTCTTTAAAGACAATATTCCAAAAGGTACACCAAGTGCGCCAGCTATGTTTAGGAACGTTAATGAGTTACAAACTCCAACGACGAGAAAAGCGAACATGGAAAATATTCAATTGGCAGAATGTATTGGTAACGTAAGAGCTTTGCTAATTCAAATTCTATGCGATGATATATTTAACGATATTCAGTCAGAAGATGGTAATTTATTTTAAAAGTTATTTAAATATTACTTGATTTGTAAGTCGAAATATTTTGTATTTATAGATTACGATATGGTTGTCGTAATTTTGGAAGAATGTCATACTAGTTTTGTTGCGTGTTTTGATGCATTTTATCCTACATCATCATTGAAATGGAACTGCTTATGTGATTTGCTTTCACAGATGGATAAGGGAACTTTATATTCGCGTTTACTTAGTGCCATACTGGCTGGATTGTGTAATCCTTCAGTTAAATTGAGAGCAACGTTTTCACTTTTAACGCCAGGTGCTGAAAGACAATCTATTATAAGTCCAAGTGACAATTCTGGGCTACCTATGCTATCTAGCTCCGAAAATCACCAATATCCAATATTAGTTGAACAAATGATTTATCGCACTCAGCAAGAAAAAGTAGATTTTCTTAGTAATTCTTGGACATTTAAAGATGTTCTTGTCCGACTTCTTGACATAATATCTAACCCCATAAAAGCAAAAATAGAAAATATCTACAATCGTAGTATACACTGTCTTGAAGGTTCTTATGGAAAAGACACTAATCAAGGATTGATTACAAACTGTTGCCATCTCTTAGCAAGAGTTCTGGCTGAAATTGTGTACCAGACTTCAGTTTGGGATGTAAGTAAAAAAAGATGTTTGAATTGTTTTTTATTTTTAAAGTGCTTGTTTTAGTTTGATGCAACTTTTATGCCGCCACGTAGTTTACATTCGACTGGAAGTAGATTTGCACGTTCAGATATCAGTCGAACATGGAACACTGGAAATTTTGGTCCAGATGCTATAGCTTTTACAGTAGATCGACCTGGGATAGCCATAGCAGGATGTATGGTTTATTCAGGCTCAGGGGGTTATGACTATCAACTTGAACTTTTGTATGATAATACAGTAGATCCCCAATCACAACATAAATGGGAAACATTAGAGTCTGTATCAGGTAGTTATGATCAAGATGCTGTGCATAATGATATGGCTGAGATTAAATTTGAGAGACCAGTTCACATCAAAGAAAATACAAGATATGCATTACGTTTATGTTCTCAAGGAGCTAGAACCTGTTCTGGTGATTCCGGTTTAGCTTCGTTAAGAGGACCATGTGGAACGACCTTCACATTTTATTGTTGTGATTTAAGTTTTAATGGTACAACTCCTACAAGAGGACAGATCCCTTGCGTTTTGTATTACAGCACGCCATTTAAAAGTGAAGGTCATTTATCAGAGTACGCAAGTGAAATAACGGCGAGGGATACAGCTCTACAGGTAAATATAATATGTACATATATTTGTTTAAAAGTTCACTGTCAACTTTTCACTGTCTTATTTGTTTTAGATTGCTAGTGATATTACAAAAAAATGCACAGAACTTTTAATATTAGCTCGCAATGCTTTAGCAGCATCGATATCTCCAAGTGATAAATCACCAAATTCATCAAACCATACTCAAACTATTGATTCTGAACATAATATTACACCTATCGAGGAACATATGGACGTCAATTGGAAAATAATATCTAGAAATTCTTTAACTCAGGAATCCAATATATCAGCTGCCCGTGATATAACAAAGCGTATTGAATCATTTTCTAAAGGTATAATTGAGACTCTTAAATTTGATAAAAGACCGACAAACCCATTTGATGACTTTGAAATCGAAATTGGTGCAACGGAAATTAATCCAAAAGATTTAATTGGTGAAGAAATTATCGATCGGAATTACAAAATTGGACGTAATAAATTGAATGGAAACGATAGAACAGATAATCAAGTTATTAACAGCTATATGAAAGAAATGTCTAAAAGTGATTCAGATGATGACACTCAATTAACAATAGTTCAACTTTTAGAATTATTTAATATAAATTCATCAAGTATGTTCAACACATTATTACCACTAGTTTATGCACATATTGGAGCATTGGCATGCAGTGATCCAAAAAGTTCTGTACAAATACTTGATTTAATAAAAGAAATTTTGCCACATGTCGCTGCTTTAAATCAATTATACGCAAGTAAAGATTATAATTTTGGAGAAAAAGAAGCAAAACATGTTAGTAGACCTTTTGACGAGATTAGTAAGAAGAAAATCGATGAGGGAGACAGATTTATTGATATGTGTACAACAAGTAACCATTATTGTATCGTAGAAAGTGAACATCCATATAAAAATGGTTCAATTAATACTTACAGGTAACTGGACCATGTTTAAATAACTTCTACCTTGTTTTAAAATTATATTGAATTGTATTTTCAGAGTTGAATTTCCTGCTTGTGTACAATGGTTCACTGTTGAATTTGATGCACAATGCGGCACTGCACAAATGGAAGATTATTTAGTTGTTTCCATTCCAACTAAAACACAAATAGTTGAACCATGCACTGCAACTGAAGATTTTATTGAAGTAGATAACAATATGTGCTCTAGTAGAACGAGCTGCAAAAATGCCAGTCTTATAAGCAGCTGTTACAATAAATTAATGGAGGGCAAAGAAAATTTCAGAGACATGAAAAATATAGATTCAGATTGGATTATGATTAAGAAATATAATACGTCAGTTAATATTTCGAAAATATGTATGTATGTAGTAGTCGATGAATAATTTTCTTCTTTTATTTTTTATTTTCAGGCAGTCTCATTGGACGCAAAATTCTTTAGTTTTGCCGGGGAATAGAGTTGAATTTTCGTTGGAAACTGCTTCTTTATACGCTCAAGATCAAAAAGCAAATAAATTTGGATTTAAATGTTTGGTTGTTGGTTATGATAACCCAAATTTTATTAGTGCTGTTAATTCTTGTTTAATTCGATTGGAATATGAGTTAGCGTATCTTGGAGGAATGTGTAGTGCAAACTTAATGAAGAAGGATTTAAATTTACCTGGTAATAGCTGTTACATATATTTTAAGAATATGTGTACGAATTCTGTTTTTACTGATTAAATTTTTTCATGTGCACATATAACAGATGACAAAAATACAGAGGATATTGCTGGCATTGAAGAAACTGTAAATGCGCATCAAATTCTTTTGTCGAAAGGTTTAGCTTTGTCAGATTCAGTTTTATCAATCAATCAGTCGTTGGAATCATTTTTGCCATTAGGGTAAGTTTTACACTTTATTATCATAGTCTGATATTTTTGAATTATTCTTTTCGGAAATATTATTATATTCCCTTCACAAAACCAAAAATATTTTTAACTTTATGTAAAAATTGCTTAAGAATTTAGCTATTCTAAAATCATGGGCTATGAATTCTCTTATTGTTTCAGAAATAACAAAAGTTGTTTGTGATCCTTCTTTATTGGCCTTTATATTAATTGTTTATACGTAATTGTTGTTTTTAACTGAATCAATTAGCAAATTAATTAAATAAGATCATAACGCATCTAATATGGTTTCAACAAATAAATGTTGCGTATACATAGTAGAGAAGAATGCCTTTGCAAGTCAAATAATTTCCTCTTGCTTTTTAGTTTGTTATTTGAAAAGATAAAATTTTAATAAGTTTTGAAAATCTTCAAACTAATCTTGTCTCTTTATATGATTTTTTAATTCTATAACTTTATTTTTCTTCATATTTTAAAAATAAATAAATATTAAATTAACAATAATTAAAATTTTTAATTATTAAAACTTAAATATTTGTGTAGCTACAAATAGATAGAAATATTCATAATATAATTATACATAATATTACAATCAAGCTTAAAATTCATAAAAATGTACTTTAATTAATTAATACATTACACTATGTATATACATTATTTAATTTAATTTATAATAGGAAAAGAGAGAGAACTTTATATTCAAAAAAATTCGAAACTCTTAACGTTTAATTCTGCTCTACGATTATTAACAATTTAAAATATTATTATACTTATATAATTTACAATTTTTAATAGTTACATAATTATAGTTTTATGATATTAAAGTATTCAGGGTACTTACGTATTTTAATCTTTAGTTTTAATTATTGCTATTTTAATTTCAATTCATACACAAATTTTACAATATAAAATTTCAATATTTAAATATCAATCACAAATATTATAAAATGAATTTTTTATTAACAGATTTTTTTGTCTTCCGATTTTATGTATGTGTATTTGCCTTTTATTGTGCAACAAAATTATACATAATTAATCTGTGGTGGAAATTTTTTTTACAAATCAGTCTTTAAGAGTCCAGCATTTTCTACTTTCAATACTATTTGAGTTTCCTCATATGTTCTTGGTTCTGGATTATTTATATTTAATTTTTGGGCTGCTCTTTTTCTCATTATATACCATATTATAAGAGCTGTAATTAATATTAATAAAATAATTAAAGCTACTGAACCGCCTATTATATAAGGTAAATATGATATTTCTTCACATTCTGTTTCTAAAATTCTTCTGACTGATTGTAATTTAATTGGCTCAGTTTTACTTTGAAAATAAACTGTATCAGAAAAAATTTTATAAAATGAATTCTTATCTAATTTATCCTTTATATGACATGGAAAATTATTTAAATATGTTAAGTTTCTTATCATTATATTAAAATTATCATCTAATTTTAATGGTTGAACATCTTCGTTATAATTTAAAACTTGTCGTATTATATTTTCATTAAGACGTAATTCCATTTTCGTACTCTTTACATAATCTTTGTGTTGGTACAATCCTATAAAAAAATAAAACACAAAAAAAAATTATTTTATATTTTTTAAAGTTTTTCGTATTAAGTATTAATTATATCACTTGTAATTGAATCATACTTGAATTAGAAATGAATAAATTTGATAAAAAATATTAAATTTACCGGCAAAAGCTAATCGGTTTGTTTCGCCGAAATTATTATTTTCAATTATTACACCAGATTTGATACCAGCTGATATCCAATCACTGTTAACTTTAATAAAATTGTTATCTCGTATTACTGCCATGCTAATTTCTATAAAAAATATAATTTTGCTTAATAAAAATTTTTAAGCGTATTGTGATAAAATTTTTGTAATTTTATTAATTTGCTAAAATTTTAATATACCTTCGAAATGGAATGCATTAAAGTAAACTTCTTTAAATGTAACATTTTGTATTAAGAGTTGTTGAGTTTTAATTTCATAAAAACTTTGTGATGGTAGATTTGATGTTAAAACTGTATTCGTAATAATCAACTGTTCCATGGTAAATTTCTTAAATGCCTAAAAATAAAAAAATTGTACATATTTGTTACTAGATCGTTTCATATGATGCAGGGAAGATGTATAAGGCAGAGCAATGCTGCTAAAATTAATAAGTCTATAAACATTTAAAGTTCTTTGTGTTGATTGTTCAAACCGATATAAAAAAAGATGAAAAATCAGAAATTTTCATTTAATTTTAAAATATTAATTATTTAATTATACTGTTCTGATTAAAAATCTAATATTATCGCTAATGTGATTAACATGTTGAGGTGATTAAAAATTATATATACATTGGTATGAAGATGTGTATTGTCGGAGACTTACATGTCGATCTATTACATCAATATATGTTGAATCAAATTTTATAATTCCATTAGATGATTTTGTTGTAATACCATAAGGTTGGATATTTTGTATACCACTTGATTGAAAAATTATTTCTTCAATATTTCCGCTTATAGCGTGTGAATTTATTTCAATTGTTTGCACCTAAAAAAATAAAATAATTATGTAAAGTTTTGGAATTAAGTTTTGTCACTATAATATCTACTTGATCAAATGTTAGCCTCCGATAGCCATTTATTGATTGGTACGCCAATGAATTTTGGTTTAATTTGAGATCTCTAATATTTTGAAATGTTACTGTTCTTAATCCTTGAACATTCTCTAGTAAATATGGCCCAACTTCTATTGATTCACAGTTTCTAACTAATACTTGAAATACATTTCCATCTAATTGTGGAAGGAACAAATTCTGTAATAAAAAAAAAATTAAAAAAGATGTGTAGGGTATATATACACACATATATAGATATAAATGAGTATTAATAGATGATAAAGAAATTTTTAAGAAAAACCTGATAATTTTGAACTAAATTGTCATTTCCCAACTTCTTAACAACAACTATTATTGCAACTTAGTTTGTATTCCAAACTAAGAACTCAAATTATTTTAACACTACTTACAGTTGCCCTTATGTCTGTTTAAATGGTTGACATTATGAGAAAATTATATTCTAGATTTACAGAATTTCAAAAAACGAAAATCTAAATTTAATTACTTATTCTGAATTTTAAAAAGAAAACAAACTTTAAAAATTTTTTATCTAAAAATCCGGTACTAAGATTGGCCATCATTTATTAGAAAAATAATTATAACATTTTGAGTTCGGGAAATAACCATTTTTGTAGAATTTTTCAAGTAAAACTTTTTCATATTTGCTACTTATGTAAAGTTAGATTACTTATAATTATTAATTACAATTTCCTTGTGATTTTACTTATTTATGCTTATCAAGTTTTGCATTATTTTAGAAAAAATATTATTAAACTTTCAAGTTTTATATTAACCTATGAGTGTTTATTATGATAGCTAGAAAGTTTCGCCGCTTAAATCAATATTTTTGATTTTGATAAGTAGATAAGTGAATGTGTTATAAATATCTACTTACACAGCATAAAAGTATGTACATATATACACTCATACCAAAAATATTATTATTGAAAAGATAAGATTAATAATTTCAAGTAAATTATATTTTAGTGAATTTTTCCAATATCTAATACCTGAAAATGAACCTGAAAATGATTTCAATTTTTTATTTTTAATTACAATTTAAACAAGGTTTAAATGCGTAATTTTTTTAAACCCATATTGTAAGTTGTTTTTATTGGTTCTTAAAACCAATATTGTTAGCTGTTTATAATCATTATAATAATAACTTTTGGTTAATCTTGACCAAAGAAAAATTTACAACTGAAATTTTGTAAAAAGAAAATTTGAAACTGGCTTATCTGGTTAGAACATTGTTTCAAATTAATTATTAGAGCTATGTTTGGCTATATTATAGGTTAAAAAAATACAGAAAGTGTTGAAAACTTTGAAAAATGCTTCTAGTAAAGCATTATGTACTTTAAAAAGGAAGAGGCTACATTGCTGAGTGTTTATTTGCAGAATCTCATAAAGATTTAATAAAACAACATGGTCATATACATTTTACAGCATAATATTTACAATTTAGTAAAAATTTTTGAACTAAGTAGGTAAATTTAATTTTTTCTATACTTATACCTTCAGTTTAATTTTAATTAAATAAAATTAAGTAATTTAAACTAATTAACTAAATGATTAAAATACTTACTTCGTCAACATTATGACAATCACAGATAAATGATGCATCATGTGCAACACATGTTATATTTTTCGTTTCTTTATATGGTAAACTTATGTAATCCAATCGCTGGCCAAACTCTTCATATCCATAAATTATTTGAATTATTTGTGGAAATATTAGGAAATATTTCAATATTAATGTGATTTGTCGTTTTCCCATTTTGCTTTATTTACATGTAAGATTGTAGTATACTTTTATTTGCATACATGTGTTTTCACATTCGAATTACTTACGTAATTATTTTTAAAAATTTTAGTGTTATTTACTGTTTTTTTTCTTTGTAATATTTTGAAGCACATGGATTTCACATTTCTCTTACTTTTTATTTTTTGAAAAAAAAATTCTATTTATTTTAAAAATTTTTATTTAAGTTTATTTTCTTAAATTTGATGTGATGGTTTTTTGTTCCAACTTTTTCTTTTAAAATAATTTCAAAATAAATTAGCATATTAGTAATAAATTAGTGGTTAAGTAAAAAAAAATACTCTTTAAAAACGAGAAAAAGAATTTAAATAAGCTTAATATCAAAGAAAAAAATTTTGAAAAAAATTGCTTTTTTTGAAGACTTGCGATTCAAGAGTTTTTTTTTATAATTTTTTACTTATGAATTTAAATAAGACAATAAATACTTAATATGTTTCGTTTAGACTTTGAGTATTTTTGGAAATAGACCTATATAATTCGACCTATATAATTTTAGTTTTGAACTAAATTAATTCTGAAATATTTAATTCTGGACTTAAAATTGTTTTGGAATTGCTTAAAATATTAAAATTAACATAATATAGATAGTGGATGCGTTTTGGAATAATTACTACAAATTAACAGAGGGGTGAACTATTTCAATAAATAGTTAATATAGTCCTCTATAGTTATCATCAATTTTAATTTAAATAAAAAAACAATTAATTTTTTCTTTTATAGCACGTATAATTAATTATATTTAAGTATAACTAAGAGTTCTAAATTTTATACTGGAACCTATAATAATTAACAATTGTAGCCCCTAAAAATTTTTTAAACAATTAAAACCCCTAAAGATTTTATTTCAATGTAAACTGGCAAACTGGCTTAATAGAATAAGAATACGAGTACAAATTGTTGTTTTGTAATTATTATTATTTTTTAAATAAGTATAGTTAAATTAGCTAAGTTCCGTTCTAAGAACTTTCGAAGCGATTTAATTTCATTCTAATTTAAACGCGACTTAAAGTCATTAAAGGTGAACTTAAATAACACTCAAATACTTACTAATTAAATTTTTTCATTCTTCTTTCAAGTAATTGCTTTTTAACTTATTAATTATAATTTTTTTAAGAATAAGTGTATTTCGCTTATATTTTTAATAAATTGTCAAGTTCTGCATTTAATATTTTATTTAATTATTTTTGTACTTATCAAAACCAGTATTTTGATTCCGCGAAACTTTATTATCTCTAAGTCAATATTATTTTGATAAAAGTTCAAAGCAGATAATGTGTTTCACCTATACCTACACGTGTAATAAGAATTCTTATCATAAAACATATCAAGTATAAATAAAAGAGATTAGATTAGTTACTAAAAATAGGTTAAATTTTTGGTGAATTTTATGACTAATATTTTTTATTAGGTTTTTTTTTTGATATAATTTTTAACATTATTAAAGTAAATAAATAATAAAATTTTCAAAATAATAACAGGGTGAAATTAAAAAAAAAATTTTTTAATTTTATTGAATTTATCAAGTTAGTAAGAAATTTCATTTCGATTAATTTCAATCTTGAATGCGTTTGAAACTATTTTGAATTTTTTTATCGATTTTTATGTTGTTCTGAATGCATGAATTATAGGGGTCATTCACTTTTCTTACCATATAAGAAAATGAAAAAACTTCGCTATGTCTATTTGCAAGAGGTAAAAACGGTTTATTTTAAGGTGAACATGCACCTTTCTTAATAATTTTTGCAAATTGCAGCTAATTAAAAAAAAAAGAGAGCATTATACCTATTTTACTACATGTATACTTCAAATCTAATAATTTAAAGATATTCAGTATGCCAACCAATTAGTATTAGACTTAAATTTCCAAAAACCAATTCCCATAAAAGTTTGAGAAGATTTCTTAGTTGGAAAGATTTTTTGGTAATTTAATTTTTTCACTCCGATCCGCCGGTTCCATCAAAGTATTAAAATTTTTGAAAGTTTATTATAATTTGTGTTTTCAAGTTATTATGTATATTGCTTTTAATTTTTTTTCTGATATTAAGAAAATTAAGAATATTTTATTTTGGTTGTGATGTTATTGTGTACATAGGTGTATAAATTGAATGTAATATACAAATGTACTTAAATAGGTTGTTTATGTAAGAATACATTTCGAATATACATGCATACATAAATTACGTATGTTCACATACTTTCAAAACTTTTTAAATAAACAAAAAACACTGAAACAGAACAGACGGAAATACCTTGACGATTCTTAGTAAATTCTAAACATTTTTTTGTTAATTATTTATTTATGTATGTAAATTAATTCGTAGGTAAATGTATATATAAAGTATAAAAATGTTTTCTATTGATGTTCATAAATTTACAGTAAAGTTCAATTTAAAATCATTACAGTTTTCCGAAATCAAATATTTTATATAGTGATCCTCAATGAATAAGATACATAGAAAATTAGGAATTTAGTATCTTCTCTAGCGTGAATTGAATTTTACACATAATATCTAAGTAGGAATATGGTATATTGGAAAATTTTTCCATTAAAAAATTTAGCAATACCTAAATGTGGATTTGTTACTTTATGTATAAACAAAGGCTTTTCAAAAATTTAAGTTGATTATTATGCCCCAAAATTTGACAATATAATCGCGATTTTAAGTAATAAATTCGATTCGCAAACACTTTACAAAATCGTCAGATCATTCACGTCTTGGATAGTGACAAAATTTCTACTCAAGTTGAGGATCCTCATTCATTCAATTCCTACCAGTTCCCCTTCTTTTTTTAATCTGTGCTTGCAATCTTTTTTAGACTTATTTGTATTTGATCAAGAATTCATGACCTGAGTAGATTTTATTTCCTGAGTTCCGTTTAAATGGAATCAACTGTGAGTAAATTTTTTTAAAAACAAAATTTTAACAAAAAATTTTAAGTAAAAGTTGAATTTATTTCTCGTTTTTTTTCTTCAATTACCAATTAAACTATAAATATTTATTGTATGTATACATGCATATATGTAAGTTAAAAATATGTTAAAACATATTCTAAAAATAGGAAATTTCCACTTGAAACTGAAACAAGAAATCAATTACATTTATTATGTAGTTTTAGGCTTCGCCGGTTAAATTATAAAATAATAAAAATTCTATAAGTATAAAAAAAAGCCATCTGGTATGCGTACGTTCTAAAAGTTTATTTATAGAATTTTAATTTAATGTTATTTATTTTCATTTCATTTTAAATGAATCTTCATGGAAGATGAATTAAAATCGCATTTTCCATTTTAATATGAGAAACTTGGATAATAAATGAATTATAAGTGTACGTATGCGTGCGTAGATTATTTACTTGTTTGTGCGTTTTTTATTTTCTATACACGTACATTATTTATTTTATTGTTAAGTAGAAATTACATAAATTTCTTTTATTTTTAATAACTGTAGAATTATGGAATCTTTCTTAAAATATAATATTGAATGTGGCGCTTCTTAATTTGAATTCAAAATTGTAATGCTATATGCATATATTTTGTGTTGTAAATACTTGAATTTTTTGCTAATTAAGATTAAGATCAAGTATGTTACATAATAATGAACAATATTTTGAATTTCTTTTATAAAAAATAATTCAAGTACAGAAAACATTATTTTACTTGACGTCAATTGCATCACAATATCGAATGTACAAATTATGCAAACCATTTTATTATTCAAATTAATAATGTGTTTTTTAAATTATTAGCAATTATGTGAGTTTTTTTTTCTATTGTTTTGATTTTAGGATTTACATATAAACTACAGCGAGTTTAAAAAATGTTTGGGATTACTTGAATTTAAGAGTATTTGAATCACTCGTATATGATTTTTATGCATAATCGTGCGGCATTAGACTTGTTAATTATAGAGAATTTTGAAAAATAATATGCATCTTTCAATTCTATTTAATCTTGATTCTAAAATCTAATATTTGAAAAATTCATAATTAGCTCCTTCATAAAACTTGCTTTATCAATTATGCTTAAGCATTAAGGCACAATCGCGTATTTATTTAAAAAAAAATTAATTCGTTCAAGTATATATTTAAAATAGAAAAATTTAATAATATTGTTACTTTTGAAAACTTGTAAAAAATTTCAAATAACCTATTTAAATTTGAAACAATTTTTTGTCAAATTTTGCAAAAAAAAAAATTTAAATCCAAATTACATCGCATCGCATTGAATTTTCCATATATGTTGCATTAGGGTTTTCCATGGCATATTTTCATTTAAGAAAAATAAAAATCAAAAACTTATTTTATACTTTGCCCCATTTTCCTTTTTAGCTCACTATGACTTATTTTATTTTCCATAAAAGTATAAAAAAAAATTCAATTTATTACACTCTGTAGGTAATATTATGTAGATTGAATGAATTAATCTAATCAAATTAGCTAGCCATTTTCGGCAATCAATAGAAGTAATAAATTTCATGTTGAAAAAATTAAAAAAAAACCATTACATAATGGAATCAACAAAAATGTGCTTTGTTTTTTTGCTTCTCTTATTATAAATAATAAAAAATATTTTTAGCATATTTTTAAAAACCTTTATAAACAAATGAGCTCAATAGTTTTATTCAGTCCGTCCATTAGTTCTCAATAACAATTCTTTAAAAATGTGATCAATAATATCAGTTAAATATCACCAAGAAAGTTTGTTGCTTTGATTCATTCCATTTCAGGTATTTTTTTTTTAAATTTTTATTTTTGACAATTTTATTTTATTAAGACTTTTAATTTAATAATTTCAAAAAAACAAGAAAATCAAGAAAACGTTTTGAATGCTCCTAAAAGTTTGCAATTTTTTTTAGCAATTTAACTTTTTTTTCCAAAATTGATTCTTATCCCATCTTTGAACGTAATTTTTATTAATTTTTTTTTTATTTAATTTAATTATTTGTATTCGATCATTTAGTCGGATCGAGCATTCCAGAAACTCTGACATTGCAATTCTCCATTTCAGCTTTCATAGTATTGTTTCTATGGTAAGTTGTAAATTCTTTGTACGATCGTAAAAGTAATAAACAATATGCTTTTACAGATGCAGCCAAATAAAAATGTCTTTATAAATAATTTTTTAGATTTTATTACTTAATTAAAATAACAAAAAGTTCTATTTCTTTCGTGCAAATAGCACCAACGTCTCAATTACCTTCCAATCAATTGTT